TTTGTTCCCATTCAATCGATCACGTGTTCGTGACATCCAGCAGCTCAAGGATACAATGGCTCAAATGTCTTTGAGTCCTGCCTGGTAGTTTTTATATTGGAATCCACTCATGCATTTCCAGGGATGATTTCCAAGTTGCTTTGTCCTTTTCACCAGGAGAGCCTTCAGTGTCCTTTAGGTGTGTCCCTTTGTAAACACAAGGGACAGGCTGCTGTCATTTTCTCTGCATACTGATAGTCAGCTGACCTGAGGAGAGGCACAGGCCTGCCAACCTCGGGAGCAAGTCTCGTGACAATGAAATATTTTCCAAATACCAGAATTGGAGTGGAAGAAAATTAGGAGATGATGTGACAGGGAGAGACAGGCTCCTTCCCCTTCTGTTTAAAGCTGCAATGGCAGTTTAAATGTGAGCCCTTTTTAATTAAGTTGCTGGGTGTTTGCTGCCAGGGGAGTGAATCTGTCCTTAATTTAAAGATATTTGAAGCAAATGACTCATGAACTTCAAAAATTTTGAATTGGGATAAGAGCATCAAAAAACAAATGAGCATTCGGAGCTGCATGAGGCATCCTAGACTCTTCAGATGGTGAGGCTGGTCTGTAGGGTCTTCATTGGGACTTTCTGAACAGAGGTGGCATGACCGGTCCTGCAAGCTGTGGCTTTGGATGGTGGTCCGTGCACGCTGTTCATGGTCATGGGGGAGCTCATGTGTTGGCCAGCAGCTCTCTGGACCCGCACGGCCTCTGAGAGCACTCCCGCTGCTTTTGATGAGCAAAGCTGGGTTCACACCATATGGATAAACATGCTCCGACTCATTAAAGCCCAGCCTCTGGTTCTTCTGGAGATGACTGTATCACAGGCTTCCTTTTATTCCCCTTTCATGAGCTCCTTGCTCCAACTTACTGTTTTTCTGCTTCTGAAGTGTCTTTGTTCCAGCAGGGCCTCATTTTCCTTTTAAGAGCAAGGTGGGGATCAGGGAAGGTTCTTTAACCCTTGCTGAACCGTGTGTCTACCCTCACGCACTTCCTCCCTGGGAGCTGCTGAGTTCCTCTCTCCTGGGCTCTTTTCCTTCCTCAGGCCCTCCAGGGCTGCCTCTGCCTGTCGTCCTGTTGGGGAGTTGGCAGCAGGAAGGCGCCTTCATTGACACCCCCCACCTGGAAACTGATGTCCTTTAATGGGACAGGTAGGGTTGCTGGCTGGCTATTCAGGCATCGGGAAATTGCATGAAATACGCTCCAGTAGAATATGTGTATGCACCTTACAGCGTGCATTTTACTAAATACTGGATTGATAACAGATCCATTTGATATACAGTGGATTGAATTCATGGTTTTCATCCACTCACAGTGGAACGATTCTGAGCATTGAGATTAACTATTAGACAGAACACCATTTTTAGAATTTTTATTTGACTGTGATCCGAGGACCAATTTTAGAATTTCTGGCTTCATCGTGTATTCGATAAATCATCAACTCTACACTTGGTTGATAGGAAACCCATACCTTGGAGGGGGGAGCGGGAGATTATGGAAAGCATGGCCCCTCACCTTCTTTTCGAGGAGTTTAAAAAGCTGTCTGCAAAAGCAGGACCAATAAGGATACATCATTGCGCAAGCGAGAAATGACAGGTAGGTAAGGACTGTAGAGGAAACGTCACGAACTTCGTCAATTACCAGTTATCCTGGCAACACAGATTCAAAGGAGGAGGGGACCATTTCAGGTGGGAAGGGCCAGGCCAGGTTTCTTGGAGCCAGGTTCTGATGATGAGGAGGCTGGGCATGGGCAGATGGCAGCGGGCGGGGGGGAACAGAGTGGGCACAGCTTCCACAGGCCCAGATCTGGAGGGAACCACACGGGACTCAGTGTCCCAACCTCTAGAACAGATGTGGATAAGATGACCTTTGAGGCCCCTCCTCCAGCTCTGATTTGCCCCAAGAATGGGTGCACCCCAGTGTTTCTTCTTTTGTAGCTAGAGCAGTGGCCTTGGAGAGGGCTGTCTGCCCTCCTTCCAGCATCCACAGTTGGCAGTCCTTTGGGAAGCCAGCAATGAGATCAGTGGATCCTGTGCACAGGCAAGCTTGGGGCCGGGGGGGCAGATGGCCATGGAC